GATGTGGGACTCGATCCCGGGACTCCAGGATCATGACCTGAGCCGAAGGCAGTCGCTTAACCAACTGAGCCACCCAGGCGCCCCCCCAATTTTTTTTTTAAAGATTTATTTATTTCAGAGAGAGAGAGAGTATGCAGGAGTGCGAACAGGGGGAAGGGCAGAGGGAGAGGGGAAGCAGACTCCCTGCTGAGCGCAGAGCCCCACTGGGGCTCTGTCTCCTGACTGGGAGAGCATGACCTGAGCTGAAACCAAGAGTCAGACACTCAACTGACTAAGCCACCCAGGCGCCCCTAAACAATTTTGATAACCATAAAATTTTACCATAAGTAAATGTTTCACAAGTTCAGGATTATAGAGCCCTTCTGTATTGATTTCATACCTCTAAAGTTCATTTACTTTTGACATGATAAAGAGCACACAGATTGAATAATTGAGTCAAGACTGTACTTGTGGGGCACTGGGTGGCTCAGTCAGTTAAGCATTTGCCTGTAGCTCAGGTCATGATCCCAGGGTCCTGGGATCGCATCCCACATCAGGCTCCCTGCTCAGCGGGGAGTCAGCTTGTCTTTCTCCGTCCCCACTCCCCCACTCTGCCCCCCATTCGGGCTCTCTCTCAAAGAAATAAATAGAACCTTAAAAAAAAAAAAAAAAACTGTACTCGTTTTCCAAGGCATCCCCAAAGAAACCTTGTGAAACAATTTGAGATTATTTCTAACCGTAGGCCTAATTTATTTATTTTTTGAGGCAAAATTTATTTTGTAGCATATTATTAAAATTAGTCATATGAAATATTTGCCTATGTGATTAAATTTTAGCTGTAAAATTGTGTAAATAACCAGAATATTTTTAATTGAGAAAAACAGTGCCATCAAAAATTAATTTGATGCTATAAATTTTAACATTGAATAAAATGTAAAAAATAATCATAACACATTGGTTTTATTTTTTTTTTTATAGTGGTTATATTTATCTATTTATTTTAGATTTCCTTTCCTGGATGAAAATGTCGTCTCCTTTCTAAATTCCCTACCGGTTTGGGAAAAGGCAAACCTGACTCTCCCCCGTGGAATTGGTGAAAAACTAATTTTGCGTCTTGCAGCATTGGAACTTGGCTTAACAACCTCTGCTCTTCTGCCAAAACGGGCCATGCAGTTTGGATCCAGAATTGCAAAAATGGAAAAGAGTAATGAAAAGGCATCTGATAAATGTGAAAGGCTCCAAGTCATTTCCTTAGAAAAGCTTTCTATTGAAAAGGAGATTAAAATATAATTCTTCACAATGTAACAATATTTACTGAATAATGATTATGTAAAAATAAAACACTCTGCTGCTCTATTATTATATAATGTGGTATTAAGGTTCATTACATGAATTTTTACTTAGCTATATAACTTAATATAACCAATTTAGTCAAATTAACCCTGGAGAAAAAGAGATAATACTTGAAAGAACAACTTGGATGTTTGAAGCTGTGATACTAACATTACTTTGAGCTCTTACATGGTAATGTCCCACCACCAACACTAAAAGAAGAAAGCAGGTTTTACCGACCCTTCTCTTGGTAGCTACACGCAGAAATAACTCAGTTTCTTGTTGTTAGGAGCCTGGCTGAAACAGAGCTGTTTGACAGATGAGAGAACTACGGTTTAGAGAAGCTAAACAGTTTGCTTGAGGTTCACACTCCTGAGCAACACTTGTTACTTCTGTTACATCTCTTTAGGCAGCTAATTTTCCCACTCAGAGCTTCTGATGATTTTAAGCGTTCTCCTGTCCCCAAAATCTCTAGCCTCTCTCCTTGCCTCATTCTCAGCTCATGACCTGGGCTTTTCACAGAGAATCAGTCATCAGGACAAGAAATGCCTACACTTTCCAACACCAGAACTTCTTTTTTTTGTTTGTTTTTTTAAGATTTTATTTATTTATTTGACAGACACAGCGAGAGGGGGAACACAAGCAGGGGGAGTGGGAGAGGGAGAAGCAGGCTTCCTGCCGAGCTGGGAGCCCGACGTGGGCCTCGATCCCAGGACCCTGGGATCATGCCCTGAGCCAAAGGCAGACGTAATGACTGAGCCACCCAGGCACCCTCCAACAACTGTCAAAAGGCTGTGTCTCCACCTGTTCTCTGTATCCCAACCCTTCTTGCCTTATAGGAATCTTACATTCCTCTCTCCTGTATCTTCAGCCTCTTTGTAGGATCCTTCCTATCATCATTTAGTGTTCTGGTCTAACCAATTTAGAATGCACATACCTGGTTCTGTATCTTCCTCTGCTTATCATCTCTTGCCTCCCATTCCACACTCACCCTCTGCACCTTTATGTCTCAACTCCACTCTGGCCTGACATCCACCCACATTAGTCAGCTGTGACAACCATACCAAGGTCACTGGGGTCTATCCCCAATTAGGACTGACACCCTTTCTGGACATGGACATACTTTGATTCTTTTATTTATTTATTTTTATTTTTTATTTTTTTTAAAGATTTATTTATTTGACAGAGATACAGTGAGAGAGGGAACACAAGCAGGGGGGAGTGGGAGAGGGAGAAGCAGGCTTCCCGCTGAGCAGGGAGCCCGATGCGGGGCTCGATCCCAGGACCCCGGGATCATGACCTGAGCCGAAGGCAGACGCTTAACGACTGAGCCACCCAGGCGCCCCTTTTTTTATTTTTTTATTTTATTTTTATTTTTTTAGATTTTATTTATTCGTTTGACAGAGAGACAGCGAGAGAGGGAACACAAGCAGGGGGAGTGGGAGAGGGAGAAGCAGGCTTCCCGCTGAGCAGGGAGCCCGATGCGGGGCTCGATCCCAGGACCCTGGGATCATGACCTGAGCCGAAGGCAGACGATTAACGCCTGAGCCACCCAGGCGCCCCATACTTTGATTCTTTTAATCTTGGTGGGAAAGCAGTTTTAGGATACTGACAAACAGAAATCTGTCAGAGACTTTCACATGCTCTGAATTTATCCTCTGGGAAATGTAATGTTCAAACCATATTTAGATACTAACTTTAATAGCTTTCATCCTTTTACCTGAGGGCAGACAACTTCAAGTATCTATGTGGTCCCGAACACCAAATTGACATTCCTCCTATCAGGAATAAACTAAGAGGTTTGCCTAGCAGCCTAGATTTGAATATAATAACTTTTATAGTGACAATATAGTTCAATACTAAAAACATCTATCATTTATACAGTGATGATTATGTGGCAGGTGCTACTTTATGAGCTTTGGATGTATTAATCCAACTGAACTTCTGTAGGGAATTTCCAGGTCATCTGCTCCAGCATTTTGTTTTGTCCCCAGAGAGCCTAATTCTTTAGAACCTTCTTACTACTTAATTCCGTAAACCCTGGGATGAAGTTCTGTGTTAGTCCTTAAAATAATTTTCCCAAGATTTGAGACACTTAAAACAAATCATCTGGTACTGAGCAAAAAACATGTCAGTAGAAGAATCTATATAGATTGTTCATAAGTGCAAACATGCAAATCTGTTAAAGAAGCAGTGACGTTTTTACATCCCTGCCCTGGAACAGCAATCATAAATTTCTAATACTACCTCCATAGCAGCTAAAATCATGACATGGTTGGACTAAGAGAAATTCTGCCCCCCAAAAGTCACTAAAACACCCATGTTGGTACACTCAGTGGAAAAGTTTAAGTTATCCCCCTTGACCTAGCAGCAGCAGACAATGAAGTTGGGCATTCCCTTATTCACGAAACATTTCTCTTGGCTTCTGTGCCTGAACTTGATTTTCCTCCTGCCTTCCTGACTGCTCGCCCTTTGTGTTCTTTGCTGACTCCATCTTCTCCTCCTGACCTTTAGATACTAAATTTCCCGTCCTGGGTTCCAAACTTCTCAATTCTTTCCCTTGGTGATTTCAGCCACTCTCTTGGCTTCACTCACCCTAAGCTTGCCCAAATGTATGCATCTACCCCAACCTGCCATTCTTAGCCTGGACCTGACATGTATATTTAAGGCATATCTGGCATCTCTACTTAGTTCTGTCACAGGTACATCAAGGTCAGTATGTCCACAGCTGAACTCTTAATCTTGCCCTGATTCCCCATTTCTCCTGACAGAAATTTGAGTGTCATCTGGATAACCATTTTTTTTTTTTTTAAGATTTTATTTATTTGACAGAGAGACACAGTGAGAGAGGGAACAGAAGCAGCAGGAGTTGGAGAGGGAGAAGCAGGCTTCCCGCTGAGCAGGGAGCCTGATGCGAGGCTCTATCCCAGGACCCTGGGACCAGGGCCTGAGCCGAAGGCAGACGCTTAACGACTGAGCCACCCAGGCGCCCCTAACCACTTTCTTTTTTAAACACCACCCACATTCAATGTTGCCACCTCATTATTTCTCAGATCCATCCACAGCCCTGCATCTCCACTGCCACACACTCTAGCCTGTACCTAGCATCTACTGCCACCAACCTAGCCCAAACCTTTAGAATAAAGTTCAAAATCATTAACTCAGCAACCGGGGTGATTAGGCCCTCACCTGCCTCTATGGCCTAATTTTGTGCCCATCGTCTTTCTAGTTCTTTAGGCAAGGTTTTGTTTGGTTTCTCAAAAAGTTCAACTTCCTTCTCAACTGGATTCTTCATCACCTGTTGTTGCCTATCCCTGGAAAGCTCTTTCTCCAACTCTGCTTGGATAGCCCTTTGTAATCTTCCAGGCTCAGTTTAAAATATCACTTCCTCCGGGCAGCCTTTCCCAGCCCCTGGTCTCCGTTTGATTTCTTTCGTGTGCTGTCATTACATCTCATATTTATCACCCTGTTTAAATATAACTGTGTGACTATCTGTGTAACTATAAGCCCCTTGAGCTAATGTGTCTGTCCTGTTCTCCAGGGTCTCCAAGTTCCGGGACATGGTGCTTGGCTCATAATAAGCGTTCGATAAATGTTTGCTGAGTGGAAGAATAATGATGCAGGTGGGATTCCAACTCAGGAACATGGCGCCTTCACCTCTGCCACTCTGGATTTGCGTTTTCCTAGAGGAAAATCGTGAAAGTGAAAAGTGATGGGGAAGCACAGTGCTCAGAGCATGAGGCGGGATTGAGGGGAGGGGAGGGGCTGGGACACCTCTCGGAAAATTCAGCAGGGCCAAGCGAGCGCCACGCCGGCCGGAAGCACTGCCCGCGGGCGCACAGGGGCGCCCCCTTGCGGCGCGGCAGAGCTGTCCTCGCCCGAGGACCAAGGGCTTCCGCGCGTGCGGGTTCCGGCCAGAGGCGGAGGGCTCCCAGGAGGGCCGCGCAATCGCGCGCGGCGAGCGGGCATTCCCCGGCGGTCGCTGCAGGAGAGTCCCTCTCAGATCCTACCTGCAGAGGCTCCCCCTTGACCTTGCCCACCAGGGCCTTCTGAAGGTGAGAAGCCATTCAGGGCGACGGCTGTCCCCGGCTCCCACGAATATTCTGGGGACCAGAGTGGACGCAGCTTCCTTCTCCTGGACAAGAAAACAATCATTCCAAAGTAGGTTTCTTCCCTTCCCTGTGCTTTCCCCCCTTTCATGTCCATGTGGGTGTAGGTCTTGGACCAGACCTGGGTTGGTTCCGATTCTTTAGGTGTGAAACCATAGGCACGTTCTGTAACCTTCCTAGTCTCCATCTCTGCGTCTACACAGTGGGGATACCAAGTCCTACCTCGAAGAGTTGGCTTCTTCAAGTGTCCTGTCTGAACTAGCAGCATCAGCATCACCTCTAACTTTTCTGAAATGCAAATTACCCAGCTCACCCCAACAGACTGAATCAGAAACTCTTAAGCAGGGTCCATCAATGTTTTAACAAGCTCTAGGTGGTTTCGATGCAGGGCAAATGTTAAGAATCACTGTATGAGAGGCGCCAATTAAATGAAATAAGTAAAATATTATGTATAAAGAGCTGGGCAAATAGTAGATGCCCAAAAAATAGTGGTTATGATCATTTTTATTCCAAGAACAGAAAGGCATTTAGTTACATAGAAACAGAAAGTTAAATAGGCTCTTCTTGTTCCTTTTCTTTTAAGCAGGTCTTTATTTTCTTGCTTTAAAAAAACTAAAAACAAAATAAACATATACAAAAAGGCTTCTCCAACAAAAAAGAATAGGTATGCAACAGTACCTTCTCTATAAACATTTCTTTTTGACATACTTCTTAGTATCTTTTGACTTTTGAAAAGCAGAACATGATTAATGTTTAAAGATTTCACTTTTTAAATTGTTTTAATTCAAATCTCAACTTTCTTATGGTGTAATTAGTTTAAGACTGAAAATCGTAATAGAACTGCCATACGGTCCAGCAATTCCACGTCTGGGATTTTACCTGAAGAAAATGAAAACATTAACTCAAAAAGATATATGCACCTCCATCTTCATTGCAGCATTATTTACAATAGTTTAGATATGGAAACAACCTAAGCATCCATCAACAGATGAATGGACAAAGAAAATGTGGTTAAATGTATACAATGGAATATTCAGCCATAAACAAGAATGAAATCTTGCTATTTGCAACTACACGGATGGAACTTTAGGGCATTATGCTACATGAAATAAGACAGACAAATACTGTATGATCTCACTTATATGTAGAGTTAAAAAAAAAACACACACACACACAAGCTCATAAATACAGGGAACAGATTGGTGGTGGCCAGAGGAGGGGGTTGGGGGGTTGGGGAAGCTGGAAGGGAGTCAAAAGTACAAACCTCCAGTTATAAGTAAGTCATGGGGATGTAATGTATAGCATGGCAACTATAGTTAGTAATACTGCACTGCATTTTGAAAAGTTGCTGAGAGAGCAAATTTTAAAAGTAGGTATCACAAAAAAACAATTTCATAACTATGTATGGTGATGATGTTAGCTAGACTTATTGTGATCATTTCAAAATATATACAAATATTTAATCATTGTGTTGTAGACCTCAAACTAATGTTTATGACAATTACACCTCAATTGTTAAAAATGTTATTAAAAAAAGATTGAAAACTATCATGGTTGACCATGAAACAACCTAATACAGATTTATTTGAGAAATCCAGCTTCATTACCATGAGAAATTTCATTGCCTGTCTTTTCCTTTATGGTTTATTGCAGAAACTTCAGAAAGGCCACCTACAATTAGTAAGAAATGTTAAGATTACCCAAAAAAGGATTACCTAGACTTGATCAAATTCAAGATGAAGAAACCTACCTGGAAAACTTAGCAGTACAGAGAAATGCTTCTGCTTTTTTTGAAAAATATGACCGGAGTGAAGTACAAGAGTTGCTAACTACTGCCCTAGTCAGCTGGTTGTCTGCCAAAGATGACGTCCGCTCTCAACTGGACCTCCCATGTGGAATTATGACTCAAATGAATAATGTAGGTTTCTCCACTGCCATCCTGCTGACTCCTGTGGACCCTACTGCCCTCTTAGACTATAGAGAAGTCCATCAAATCATAAGGGAGTTGGCTGTTGGAATTTATTGCTTAAATCAAATTCCCTCAATCAGTTTAGAAGCTAACTATGATCAGAGTTCTTCTTGTCAGTTACCACCAGCTTATTATGATACCAGAATTGGGCAAATTCTGATCAATATTGACTACATGCTGAAAGCACTGTGGCATGGAATATACATGCCCAAAGAGAAACGCGCCAGATTCTCTGAATTATGGCGTACTATCATGGACATTGATCCAGATGGAAAGCCTCAAACATATAAAGATATTTTTGCAGAGTTTAGTTCTGCAGGTAAGAGAATCTAACATGCTTTATTTTTATTGGAAGCCATCTTTTTATTTAAAAGTAATTTATCTTTGTCTCAGTTGGAGTTTTCAGTTTATACTCCTTGTCTTACAGAGCCTAAGTAGGAAAATCAGTAATAGAGCCAAGAGTAGAATTCGAGTGCACTGAGAAAAATCTCCAAACTTGGAAACGAAATGACTGCCAGGTTGGCTAGTCATCTACACTGCCATTTTTATAAACCTCAAAAATGAATGATAGGAGAATTGAAGTTAAGGATAGATGTGCATCAGCAATCTAAGCTTTGGTATTTTAGTAGCATTTGGTTTAATAAGTATTTGTTCTTGGTTCACCTAACTTTTAAGTTCCTTCCTTCTTAGGGCCATATTTCTCTAAAGCCTGTATATTCACAGCAGATACCACTAAATCCTGGTGAATCTCCCCAATATATGTAAATGTTTTATTGAGCTATTAAAAAAAAAAAAAATCCCCTAAGTTCCTTTGTAGTAGGCCAAGTGGAATGGGGAGTAAATTGGGAAATGAGTGGTTCAGTGTTCCCAACTGCTTTCGTTGATTAAATATATCTAATCATTTTCTAAATAGATTTCACAGTTTGTGGGCACAGGCTTGAAAATAAGTCTCAATTCTGGTAAAAAATGTGTTAGAATTTCACTTGAAGGAGCACAGCAATAGATTTTACATAGATTTTAATCTCGCCTGAAACTAAAAAAGGATGACAGTTTGTCCTTTGGGAATGAAATGTCACTCAGACGTTTCCTTTCTTGGCTATTCTGAGAACAGATCTGTTGATTTGTGTATTGCATATAAATTGGCTGCACTTTAAGGGGGTTGATATTCAATATATAGTATTTTCAATTTTTATTCAGTTTTTTATACATAATCTTAATAAGTTTCTGCATAACCTCACTAAGGATGAAAAGGATTAATATTCTCCCCTAATTAGCCAGATTTCCCTTGGCTAAATAGAACTAATAACAGAACTTCTTAATGGTAGATCAGGTGAAAATGAACCACTTTTTATCTGAATTGTACATGTAACTGGAGAGAAAATTACCTGAAAACAACTTTAGTTTGTCAATGTAAGTCTGGTTACTAAAGCAAATACCTTGAAAACAAAATCAGTGGTTTCTTAGCTTCTCAATAAGATGTGGAAGAATTGTGATCTTTTGAATATTTAATACAGTTACTATGGTAAGGTAGTTTCATGGAGTTGTTTCATTGTTTTCTTATTTTTTTCCTTCTCTGTCATTGATAGCTAAGTCAAAAATTATACACACACATACAAAATGTACATATATGTGTTCATAAAGGGCTCTAGTTTGATTTATTCATTTTACAAATTTTCACTGAGTTTTTATTTCTAGCTAAGACAAAAATAAGCCTGATGTTAAGAACAAGTTAGCAAAAAAAAAAACAAGTTAGCAGTAAGCTTACATAAAAGCTCCATGAAAAAAAGCCCCTTACCTGCCTTGTTTATCTGTGTATGTTTTGTGCCTAAGACAGTCCCTGACACGAAGTAGGCATCAACTAATATTTGTTAAATTGAGTTAAATTAATTGAATTGAATTACACCCCTCTCTTTTTTAAAGATTTATGTATTTGAGAGAGAAGAAGCATGAGCCTGGGGTGGGGGGCGAGGCAGAGGGAGAAGCAGACTCCCCACTGAACGTGGAGCCTGATGTGCCAGCTCCATCCCACGACCCCGAGGTCATGACCTGAGCTGAAATCAAGAGGCGGCTGCTTATCCGACTGAGCCACTCAGGCGCCCCCGAATGACACCCCTTGAGGGGATTTCTACCATTACCAGTTGATCAGGTTGGAAATTAAGTCTACCAGGGATGTTCTAAAGGGATTTAATAATTGTGAACTGAGGGAGCAGCTCCTCAGCAAACATGTCCAGTCAGGGTGATGTTTAGGTACAATGGCTACAATTGGGCAGTTATTCCCGACCACCACCCTCAGTAATACACATCACCGAACACTCCTGAATCTTGGTTAGGACCTGAACCACAGAAGTGAGTGTTTGCTACCTATACTATTTACTGTATCTGCGGCTGGACTGCTGTGATGTTCAGGTACCTGAGAATAAGATTTGCTTGATGACAGTCAGCAGCCTGATGCACTTGCTTTGGGTTGGGTTTTCAGATATGTTGCCTTAGTGTACCAGCAAGCAGTACAGTCTCTTGAAGACAGTACTTCTGTGTCTCAAGGGTAGTTTAGATAGCTAATAGCTCTCATTTCCATGCAGGGTAATCAACTTCTGTTGAGAACAGGCCCGAGTGTGGTGAGTATAAGGCAGAAATTCTCCTCTGGGAGAGAATTACTCAATCTGTGATGTCAATGGAGTAAAAGCTAATGCTACCTGGCTAAGTGCAGAGTACCATAGGATTGGAGGGTCAGTAGCTTCTAAAAGATTATAGCTGGAACTGGAACTAACAAATCCCTTCTTGTTGTTCAGGTCCTTGAGGTGATAAGGTTGAAGAAATGCAAAGTATTGCCAGTAATATCTAGTGAATTCCATTCATTTCTGTGTTCCCTTGACAGTTCCCTCTTAAAGGACACTAACATTTTGGCATTATGTAGATGCATTATTGAAGAGAATATGGCACAGCCAAAGTCTTAAAAACATGTTAGTGTTTGCCCAGAAGTACTATCATTACTGGTAGTTTAGGACCTCCAAGGCTAGCTCAGGTAATATAAATAAAATATAGCTAAATTAAGATGTCCTTTTGGTAGATGATGACTGGAAGTTGTCAAGTGATCCATTGGCTGATCATTGGAAGACAGCAGGAAACATTGCACAAGCCAGATGATGTCTCTCTTTAATCAAATTGGCCAAAATGTATCTGGAAAACTAAGCTGCATGGTTTGCCCTTCCTGACCGAGATGATGGCAGGAGTTTTGTGAAGATTTGAGCTCCATGGAGATTAAGGATCAGCAGGAATTGATAGTGGTTTCCAATGATGTTTGAGACTTGAAAATCCTGACAAAAATTGGGTTTGCTTTTCTTCCCCTTTTACAAAGATTACTTGGAACCATCATTCCCACTTGGTATTTGTCAAGCCAGGCAAAGGCCAGAGTTGAGAGATTTGACTGGTAAGGAAACAACATGCCCTTTTTAGATTCAGATAATTTTTTCCCCAGTTACATGTACAATTCAGATAAAAGTGGTTCATTTCCACCTGATTTACCACTAAATATGCTTCAATGGTATAGTGCAAACAATAGTGAATGGCCAAGCAGAACACACACAAGACATGTATTGGTGAAACTCATAGAAGCAGGAACAGGTATGGGTTCCCCATCATGTACCACATTCGAAGCATCACTGTGAAATCTTGCAGGGCCAAGTGTCAGACTTGGGGACAGGAACCCAGACTCAGGCTGTGAGGCTTTTATGCTGCATGATCAAGGAAACACCAGGTCAGAGGCCAGATACAAGAGCAATGTGTATTAGCCTAGGTTACCCCCAAATTAGAGCCTGAAATGAGGGCTAAAGTCAGGGTAGTTTATGGGAAATGACTCCAAAGAACAGAAGTGAGGGACAGGAAAAGTGAATAGAAAAGGAGGGAACATCAATCCAAGGATGCGCTGCTGAGTTTTCACCCCTTGGGCCATGGAGGTCCATTTTGTAGGGACTCTCTGAGGAGTCCCATAGAATACATTTCAGAGTTGTCAGCTCAAGGGATAGAAGAGGGCAGTATGTATCCCCTGGCTCCTCTTCTCTATTGGTCAGTGCCCTCACACTCTAGATTTGTTCATGCATCAGAATGACTGGATGGGTTCCATCAAAAGTCTAACACAGCAGTGGTAGGGAAGTCCCAGGGCAAAAATAAGAACCATGTGGTGCATCAGAAGCAAAGCACATTCAGGTTATGTCTTTGTGAAGCTGGTCAATGCAACAACAGCTGGAGTGAAAAATACAGTCTAGGAGGAAGTGAGGTAAAGAACAAAAGGTGTCTGATATACAGTGTGACTCATGGAAACTTGGCTCCAGCCCTATCCTCCTCAGTGTTTGAGGTAGAGAAGGAATACCACTCCTCCACTGACTTGATCAGAGAACTGGGATCCAAGCCTTGTAGCTATATGATGACAAGCTAACAGCAATAATTTCTAGATCATCACTCATATTTGGAGAAATGGCACTGCCATGACTGGGAGACTGGGTTCAAGCCTTGCAACTGACTATGTCATTGCCTTAAACATTGTGCTAATGTGGATGTCCAAGGAACTTTGCAGGAGGCCAACTCTTTTTCTAGGAGGGCAGACAGCTAAGAATCAGTCTGGCCATGTTAAACTTTCTTTACCTCTCCGATTTGCAATTTACAAAACGACCAACGAACACCACTTTTTTAAAAAACAGTAGCAACAGCTGTAAAGAACAGAGCACACCAAAATCTGGTCATATTATACAGTTTTCTGTAGGGGATTTTATTTTATTTATTTTAAGATTTTATTTATTTGACCAAGAGAGACACAGCGAGAGAAGGAACACAGCAGGGGGAGTGGGAGAGGGAGAAGCAGGCTTCCTGGGGAGCAGGGAGCCCGATGCGGGGCTCGATCCCAGGACCCTGGGATCATAACCTGAGCCGAAGGCAGATGCTTAACGACTGAGCCACCCAGGTGCCCCATGTAGGGGATTTTAATTATGGAGGGTTTCTTGATCTGAGTAATTCTTGGATTCTTTGATTTATTACATTAGGTTTGTGGGATGAGGGGAAAGAAGGAAAACATATTCTTGTGATAGAAAAATGTAGAGGGGATGATTTTTAGTTAAAATACATACATATATATCTATATCTATCTATCATCTATCTATCTATCTATAAAATTCACAACTGGTAAAGTGAAATGGTTTTTGTTGTTTTTCTTCATGCCTCTGTTCATTCCCTGTCCCTTATCTGTAATTGGCTTCTCCCTGTCACTTCACCTCACTCTTCCACATTCTTCCCCAGGTTATTGCTACTCATTTCTCAAGACTTGATTCA